ACATATAAGAGATTATACAGTATTTGTCTTTCTCTGACTTATTTCATTTACCATAATGCCCTCCAGGTCTATCCATGTTGCCACAAATGGCAAGATTTCATTCTTTTTCATGGCTAAAGAATTATCCTATCGTATATCTGTATCTATATCTATCTATCTATCTACCATGTTTTCTTTACCCATTTATCATCGATGGACAGTGAGGTAGTGTCCACGGCTTGGCTATTGTAAATAATGCGATGAATATGGGAATGCATCTCTTTTCACATTAGTGTTTCTGTTTTCTTTGGACGAGTACCCAGAACTGGAACCGCTGAGTCATACGGCAGTCCCGTTTTTAATTTTTAGAGGGACCTCCATACTGTTTTCAATTCTGGCTGCACCATTTCACATTCCCACCGGCAGCGCGTAGGGTCCACAGGGTCCCCTTTTCTCCACACCCTCACCAGCACCTGTCATTCCTTGCCATTCTGATAACAGCCATCCTGACGGCCGTGAGGTGACATCTCGTTATGGATTTGATTTGCATTTCCCCGATGATTAATGATGTTGAGCACCTTCTCATGCACCTGCTGGCCAGCTGCCTGTCTTCTTTGGGAAACTGTCTATTCAGATCTTCTGCCCATTTTTTAAGCACACTGTTGTATTTTTATTTATTTATTTATTTGCTACTGAGCTGTATAAGTTCTTTATATGTTTTTGGATATTAACTCATCGGATTTCCAGGTGTTTTCTCCCTCATGGTAGGCAGTCTTTTGTCTCATTGATGGTTTTCTCTGCTGTGCGGAATCTTTCAATTTGATGTCCTTCTTGTTTATTTTCGCTTTTGTCACCTTGGCTTTGGAGTCAGATCCCAAAACTCATTGACGAGACTGATGTCAAGAAGCTTACTGCCTGTTTTCTTCTAGAAGTTTTACGGTTTCTGGTCTCACGTTCGAGCCTTTGGTCCACTTCGAGCTAACTTGTGTGTGTGGTGTGAGAGAGGGGTCCAGTTTTTCCAACACCATTTACTGAAGAGACTGTCCTTTCTCCATTGTGTGAGCTTGACTCCTTTGCTGTAAATTCACTGACTGTATCTGCACGGGTTTATTTCTGGGCTCTCTAGTCTATTCCATTGTTCTTTATGTATATTTTTATGCCAATACCATACTGTTTGGATTACTCAGCTTTGTAATATAGTTTTGTTCTTTCTCAGGACTGCTTTGTTTATTCAGGGTCTTTTGTAGTCACATACAAATTTTAGGATTTTTTATTCTGTAGCGCTGAAAAGTGCCGCTGAAATTTTTAATAAGGATTGTGCTGAATCTGTATGACTGCTTTGGGTAGTATGGACATTTAAATAACATCAACTGTTCCGAGCCAATTCAAAACCAGTTTTCTCAGATGCCAAAGTCTTATAATGTTTCTCCAACAAAGATTCTCTGCTGGCGTCACCATCTGAGTACACTCTGTCTGCTAGATGCTCTGGGTATTATTTTTAATGTTTTCAGCAGCTCATCAAGAGTATCATCCTCCAAAGGTACAAACTTCCGGTTGTGAGACAAATAAGTACTAGGGACGTAATGTCCAACACGGTGACTATGGCCAACATTGCTGCAGATACATATAGGGGAGTTGTTAAGAGAGTAAATCCTAACACTTCTCATCACAAGGAGAAAACTTTTTCCTTTTCTCTTTTCTCCTTTTATTTTTGTTATATCTATATGAGATGGATGTTAGCTGAACCTATTATGGTAATCATTTCACAAGATATGTAAATCAAACCATCATGCTGTACGCCTGAAACTTATGCAGTGATGGACGTCGATTACTTCTCAATAAACCTGGAAATAAAAAGATTATCCTCCTTTTACAGATGAGGATTAAGGATTTAAGTGGATTTTGCTCAAAAGCTCAAATCTGTACGTTTTCAGCATTTGAATCCAAGATTTTCTATTAATTCCTAAACTTACGTTCCCTCTACTCCATCACTCCGCCCCATACAAAGTACTCAGTATCAACTGATATGTAGTTAAAGCAGAAATGCACACGATTATTAAATTACATATCTGTGTAAACTCACAAGCCTTCTACTTAAGCCAAAAAACTATTTTATTGCAAGAGACTTAGAAACGATTCCAGTGAAACCATCCAGAGACACCGTCTTGTCAAAGAACAACCCCAGGCCGTGGAGACTAGGACTCGAGATGTCCTCAGTTCTACACCACCAATCATCGTAAAAATAAGCCAGTTTTTGGAAATGATTTAGCAGAAACCAGTAAGCCGATTCTCCATTGTATTAGGGTAGGGAACATGTCAGAGCATTCTAAGATACAGACAGCAAGACTACAAAGCAATTTGAACTCTTCCAAAGCTAAATGAGAGTTGTAACGGATTTAACAAATAACCGTTTGCTCTCTCAGGATTGCGGAGGACATCTGGACATGGTTTCAGAGAGCCTTCTTCTTTAAATTGAAAAAACGAGAGCCATTTAATGAAGTTTAAATCAATGCATAACTTTTAAGTACTACACACAGCTTTTTGGACACATTAGTAGAAAGAAGAAAATGCTGAAATAAAACTATCCCAATAGATTATGCTGACTTTTAACTTTAAGAAAAAAAAAAAAGTCACTTAAAACCACAAGTGATATGTCGCCTTGCTTTTGATGATTTTCAGATCATAAGCACAGAAACCAAAATACAGTAGATACCGTCTACTGCATTCAACAGCTCTCCCCCCACCCCCCGTCCTGGCCTCCACATCGCAGAGGCCATGAGGCTGAACTCAACGCTCCTGACGTCCCCTGCGCTGGGGACTCTGAATTTGATTGTTCTTCTTTCCTTATCTAAATGCCTTTTATTTCTTTTTCTTGCCTTACTGCACTGACGATTCTAAACAAGAATGGTGACTGACCCCCTTGCCTCATTCCTAATGTCGGGTAAAAGCATTCGGTCTTCCACCAATAATTATAATATTAGCTATCATATTTTCACCAACATTTCGTAAATACCACAGAATATTTTCATAAAATACTTTTATCAAGTTGAGGAAGCTCCCTCGTGTGCTGATTTTCCTGAGTTTTTATCATGAATAGATAATGAATATTGTTACATTTTTTTCTACATCATACGGGTTTTAGAAATTCTGTTGTTTAGTTTGCTGACGCTGTGAACTATAGTCATTAATTTTTAAATCGTGAGCCAATCCTGCATTTCTAGAATAAATGGCACTTTGGCATGATGTATTATCCTTTTAATAAAAACTCTATCCAAGCTTGCTAATATTTTGTTGAGAAATACCTTTGGTTTTTTTTGTATCAGAGTAACAGCTGCCTCATAAAATAAATAGTGTTCCCTTCCTCCTATTTCTGAAGAGTCTGTATATAATTGGTATTATTTCTGTCTTAATAGGTTGGTAGAATTCACCAATGAGTCCATCTGGGCTCAGAACTTCCTTTTGGGGAGGGTTCTTAACTATAAATTCAATTTCTTTAATAAAGAGCTTTACAGGCTATCCCTTTATTCGCGAGTAAGGTTCCATAGCTGTGTCTCTGGTGGAATTTGCCCATTTAAGTTATCAAATGTGTTAAGTGGTTCATAATATTACCATACCTTTCAAATAACATCTGTGGGATCTGTACTGATAGTCTCTTTTCTGATATTATAAATTTCTGCTCTCTTTTCCTGACTGATGTGACTACTAGTTTATTAATTTTATGGCTCTAATCAAAGAACTGGCTTTTCGTTTCACTGTGTTTTTTTTCTACTGTTTTTTTGTTTTCTATTTCATTGATTTCTGCTCTTATTTTATCATTTTTTTCTGCCTTTTCCGAGTTTAATTTGCTCTTTGTCTTCCAATTTCTTAAGGTGAAAGTCTAAATTATTTTTTCAAAAGTTCTTTTTTGTAATGTAAGCCTTTAACAATGCAAACTTCCCCGTGAAGTACTGATTTAGGTGCATTCCATAAATTGATATGTTGCATTTTCATTTTCATTCAATTCAAAATATTTTCTAATTTCCCTCGTGACTTCCTCTTTGAACCATGGGATTGTCAGAATGTGATATTTAATTTCAAAATATCTGGAGACTTCCCAGATAGCTAACATCGATGTCTAGCTTAATTCCACTGATCAAAGAATAGAGACACATATATTCCTGAAAAAGTACTTGCAAAATGGAAGTGTGAGAATCAAATTCAATGTTCCAATAGCACATTAACATAACTATGACATGCCCAAGGTCAAGGTGAGACTGGCTCGGAGAGCGAGTCTTCCAGCATCCTGTCCTCTGTGCAATACACGCTCTCTCAATATCCATCTCAAAACCAAGACTTGTGTTATTCACCTTCTACACTGCCCCCCAAAAAGGAAAAAAAGGACAATTCCATAGGCATCATCTCATTTGATTTTGCAGCCCTATACAACATGCAAGACAAAAGATGGCATTTTGTACATGGGGAAAGTGAAGTTCAAAGGAGTAACTTGCCTTACTCGTCTGCCATGTCTCGTGACTCCTGAATTATCCTTCAAAGACAGAGCAATATAGATCGTTTCAATCCTTAGATAACTAAAAACCTCATATTAGCCACTGTTGGAATCACCGACACTTCAGAGTGAGTTATAGTAAAAATAGGCTAAGTTTTTTCATCTTGACTTCTCATTCCCATTCATCATTAACAAGGTTCAGATAATAAAGAACTGGTTAAACCCCGGGAAATAAAAAGAAAATGGGCAAAAGGAGATCCCAATTTCATAAGAAATAAACTATAAAGGCACACTCGTTGTTCATACAAAAATTAATACGAAATGAATATATCAAGTTCTATTTTGTCTTTCAAATTCTTACTGTTGATTAGAATCAAAAGCTCTAAAATGTCTCTTAATGTTTGTTAAATATATTAATGTTTAATATTTTTAAATATTCAAATATTTTATCCTATTCTATTTCAAATCAAAATTTTAAACCGTAACATTAGAGAAATTAAACGGCTTTCAGGGTAAAAGGCACACACATTCTTACCGTGTAAGTGCTGACTTATGAGGTGCCGAAATTTCCTACAAGCAGCATCGCCACTTTGGCTCAGATATCGGTTGTCACAGCAATCAAAACTAAAACTAAAAAGAGAAAAAAAAAAAAGGAGAAGAATTAAACACTGGCAAGCAAAGTACATTCAAGTCTTCAAGAAAGTCTTAAATTCAAATTTCACATTTCCACAATTTCATCAAGGGAGCTCCATTCCCAGCGCTACGTCCTTCTAAATGAGTTTAGACAGGGAGCTAATAAGATATGTGACTTCCTGTATAATTCCAACTCCCCAGCCTGGAATAAGCTCTGAAATTAACTTCGAGGAATTATAGTAAACAACAGCTAAAGGGAAGGAAAACGAAAAGCCAAGCACGTGACAGGTTTATTCAGCGGAACTGCTCTGTTCATCTGTCTGACACCACCACATACATTTGAGGTTCTGTTACTGCCCGCGAGGAATTAACTGAATACTGATCTCTCACGTAAGAACTCCATCAGATGCGCATCTGTATTAACTTTTCACACAAAAATACTTAAATTCGATAAAAATCCTGATCACTTTATACATATTTTAACAGTACATAGAGGGATAAGATCGTGACAAAGATTTAATAATACCCACAGAACTGACCTTATAACGTGTTTCCAGGATAACTATTATTTACACCAAGCCTACAGAGCAATCTGACCTTGTTTACCAAGGTGGTGGACCTGTGAGGTCCAGAAGTACGATACCGTGTCCTACTCAAACAGAGCCGCGGTGTCCTTGGGAAGCATACGTACGAGAAAACCTTCGTGAATAAGCATTCTTTCATTCATTTATTCGGCAGAACGTCACCAAGCGCCTCGTACAAGTCAGCCCCCCTTAAACACGGCAGATGCAAACTGAGTAAGGAAACGCCTGCTCGTCAAAGAACTCACAGTTCTTTAACTCCTCTGAAGTTACCGGAGAAGGTCACTAAGCTGAAACCCAGCACCTCTACCAGGCGGTGGAATAGTAGCAAGCACAGGGGACCCCTTCCGTCCCACGGCTGAGCCCCGCTGGGGCGACAGTCCGAGAGCAGAGCTGCCCAGCCATTTCCCGCCCTTGGGCTTCTGGCCGCGATGCCTCCCTGCCACGAATGCCCTCTTCTCTTCTGGTTTCCATGTGTCCAAATCGTCCCTCCCCCTCAGAATGCGACCTGGTTCGGCCTCCTTCACCCGCCCGCTTGCGGTGGTCCCGTGGCAGGCACTGCGTGCGGCCCGACCCTGGAAAATCAAGCCCGATCCTGCACCCCCAAGAACGTCTTGGTCCACCAGAAGTAAACAAGGGGTTAGCATTCGATGTGGTGAAGATACATAACGTGGTATCGAGAGAGCGCAAGGGAGGGAACAGCTGCCCCCGGAGAGAGGGGGTGGCAGAGAAGGCTTCGCGGCCCTCAGGGCCCTGGCGCTTTACTTCAGACCTAAGATGAAGACCTAAAATTAAGACAGGGAAGAATTGTTTAAAGGGAACAAAGCTGAGATGTCGGTGTTGGGTGATGAGGTGGACGGGATGCCAGAGGGCAGTCAAGGAACACCAAGGCGATGCGTCTGGCTGAAGTCCTCGTAACGATGGGCACGTCCTGGGGGTGGGCGCTGTCCAGCATGGCAGCCTCCAGCCACGCAGAGCTGGAGCATCGGAAATGTGGCTGTGCTGACGGAGGAGCTCAGTGTTTTGCTTTATTTCATTTAATGTTAATCTAAATCGCGGCCCGTGGCTAGAAGCCACTGCAGTGGACAGTGCTCCTAAGGCTTCAGGCTTGAAATGACAAGTTGAGGGGGTGATCACCAGTATCTGAGAAAACAAGACCCAGATGAAGAGGCTGTAGACACTCAAATATTTATTGAAAGAAACGAATAAACAAGTCAGCGAACCAAAGAACAAACTGGGTGATCTTTAAGGACTCTCGTCTTTAAAATCTCGTCTAAGCGATACCTATCCTTGCTATTCAGAGTTCGGATAAGGCCCTCGACGCGGGGGAACCAGTGTGTCCTCACGCTGTCTCCAGGTCACGGGCCAATTCTTACAATAGTACCATACCACTAAAGGAAAATTCCTTACGTGAGTGTAAAGAAAGAAAAGAAAAACTTCATCATGAAAGCACAGGAAATCATGACCTAGGGAACAATCACAGAGCAACAATAATCGAGTCAGGATAAATAACTGTCTAGTAACCTATGTCTTTTGCGGGGAGGTTGAGGTGGGGAAGGAAGGAAGGAAAGGAGGGAGGGAGGAGGGGAGAGGACCAGACAGCTCTGTGATGAGTTCAGATGATTCTAAATACACTACAGGCAGTTCAGCTTACGTTCCTGTGTACTCTGGTGAGAAAAATGGCTGAATTTATCTCATGAAATGTCTTCATTTGTTCTAGAGAGCATTTCAAAGGTCAACGGCAATAAAGTTTTCTTTAGTAATATGCCCTGTAATCTTAGTTATCCACACATCCAAAGTCAACAGGAAATAAAAATTCTGGTGACAGGGAAACGCTTAACCTGAGAACACGCTGTGTCTAAATGACTCACTGTTAATCCGCCAATATTACCCTAATCTGATTGTATTGGGATTTGTTTACTATTTTGGTCCTTGCCATCTCTTAAGCTTCCGAATTCCAGTTTTCCAGAAACGGGATGCTAGCCCTCACACACATCCTAGATGTCAGCTTCCTCCCTGTAGTTTCCGGGGCTACCTTCTCAGCCAGACGCAAATTCTAAGTTCCTCTCTACCCGTGAGAGCATGCCGTCACTGTTCGGGCCTAGTCACACGGAAAGCTCTATTTCCACGATTGTCGGACACTTTAGGCCAGGCAGCGGCTACGAGCTCCAGAGAGACGTACGTCATCAGCATGTCTCACGTCAATTGCCAAAAGAGCAAGAAATTTAGAGGCTGAGAGTGTTCAGCCATTCGTAGTAAACAGAAGCGATTTTCAAAGGAAACGTGGATCGTCTAGCTGTGCGATGTTTCTGCTACATGTGACTGTTAAGCTTTTTTTGGCGGGGGGGGAGAGTTTTTAATGTTCGTGATAAAGAGGCCTGGCCCTGGACAGCCACCTCTGAACCCTAATGCTTCTGACCCCTAATCTACTCTTCACTAAATCTTTTTCATTTTTTTATTTAAATCCCTGGTACCTCAGCGGCACTCAAAAAACAGTTGTCAAATAAGTGAATTTTCTCGAATGGCTAGACTAAAAAAATAAATAAATCACAATGCATCTACCTGACCTACTTCAGCCATGAAAGTTGGACCTGCCTGTGTCCGGTGACCCCGTGCTGGCCCCATGGTCACTTTAAGTGCTGGGCTCCACCCAGGCAAAGAGCAGGAGAAGCTGGGTCCGTAGAACGCTCATCTCAATTCAAGCGAACAGTTCCTGAGCTTTTGCACAATGGGCATAAAAAGATAAAATAATCATAACTTGCTCGAGATAAAATAAGGCTTCCAGCTTGAGGAAACACTGATGACTAGGAGCAAGCTTTCAAAAAGCAACTGAACGACGTTCTGGAACAATCTACAGTGTTAAACACCAAGGTGGTGGCAGTTTGGCGCCATCGGGCAGTTTCTTTTGCAATACTCAGAGGCTGCCTGAGAATGAAGAAAGGAGCAGGACAGAGGCAGAGGGACGGAACTCTTGGGGTGCGGAGGGGTGGGGAGGTAAACTGACCCACTGGAAGGGCCTGAGCACAGGAAAAGAAGGCGAGGCCCAGGGATTCCTGAAAGAATGTTCCAGATTCTACAGAGAGTGCAGACGCAACGAGCTTACCCGGTAAGAAACCGCAGAATCCCAGAATTTTCTAAACTTCCCTTCTTGAAAAGTGGGACACTGTGTTCTTGGCCAATGTCCTGGTACTCTTCCTGTTTGTGACCCCAAACAGATGACAAACCGCTGATTCCAGCCAGGTCCCTGAAGATGACAGTTTAAGCCCTGAAACAGATCCAACTCAACTAAAACGATTTTTTCCTGCCTAAACGATGTTATATTTTTCTCTGCTTTAATTACTGAGTCCCGTAACTAGGACTCATTACTGATTCAAAGAGACACTAAAAATAGTCTGTTTTAGAATACAGAATGAGAAGCATCATGGAATTTTGCTCCTAAATGGACTCGTCTTTTTCACAGCTCAGTAACTTACTCTTCAAACTTATTTCCTCTTTTTATTAACCAAAAAGGTAAAACTTCAGACACATTCGACATCCGTTTCCAATACTAATTATGTGTTCACGGGTGAAATCTCAGACACGCACTAACCTTACTTAAAATGTCTCTTGATTTTTTTCCTCTCCATCTAATCATGACCCTCACTGAAACACCTCTGATTGCAAGGTCTCATTTACATATGATGAATTAATTAAAACAAAGCTGTCATCCAACAGGCTCTCTACCGCAAATGGCGAATCATTAATAACAAGTTACATCTGAATCCACGATGCCGTTTACAAAGGGCTCTCACGGAAGGCATCTCATTTAATCTCCACAACAACCCTGACGCAAATGAGCAAGGCAGGAATTTAACTCTTTTACAGCTTAGAAAAACAGGCTCAAAGAAAGAAATGGCGAGTAAGGTGGGAGAGGCACTCGCCTACCTCGTCCTCGGCTCAAGTCCCACTGTGCATTCCGAACTCGGCTCCCTCTGACTCACGATCTCCTCCGGCACGTTTTCTGGACCCAGCTAGATCACCCCCTTCCCTCCAAACGCCAACAGACGGTACCCCCCGTGACAGCCAACACATCTCCAACATGACTCAGCTTTGGATGGATATGCTGTCTCCTCAACCCCTTGAGGGTAAAAATATAATCTTATGTTTCTTAAGGCCAAGAATAACACTATGTTCATAACGGGCATAGACTACATCAGAGGACCCCCACCCCCCGAGCCGTGGACCGGTACCAGTCCGTGGCCCGTTAGGAACTGGGCCTGAACAGCAGGAGGTGCTCGGCAGGTGAGGGTGGGAGGCTTCATCTGCATTCGCAGCCGCTCCCCAGCACCAGCATCACCACCTCAGCTCATCAGGCATCAGATTCTCATAGGAGCCCCGGTCCCTGGTGCCGAAAAGGCTGGGGACCACGGCACTAAATT